ATAAGCTTTCGTGGACTACAGCCCACTGCATCCGAAGAAGTGGGCTGTAGTCCACGAAAGCTTATGCTCTAATAAATTTGTTAGTCTCTAAGGTGCCACAAGTACTCCTGTTCTTTTTTTTGCGGATACAGACTAACACGGCTGCTACTCTGAAACATATCAAATACAATAACTAAGAAGTTGAAATCAGTTTGAATCACAGAGGGCAAATTCCATAATAGTTTTCCAATGCACATTTAACCTGCTGTTTTATGAAATGTTAGGATTTTTTATTTGGGGTGGGGAGAGAGCTAAACTGGATTTCATATCTTTAGACTGCCAGTTTTTATGAAGGGAAACATTAAAGTGAAACATGAGTTGGATAGCAATTGATGGGAAGAAAAATAGAATATTTCAGTCCCCAAATCAAAATCCTAGGCAACCAGAATACCTAACATTGATATAGAGCTTTTCATGCCAAAGGATCAAAATCACTTTGCCAGATCTACATGGAAATCACTGCAGCAGTTTAACAGTACTTCTACACAAAAGTTACACAGAATATTCTTCATTTCCTGTTTTAAACTGAGACTACAGAGGTCAGAATGTTATCGCTTGAGATAGGTTCAGTGTTCTCTGTAAATTCAAACCCTGGTCTACACACAAAATTGCATCAGTTTAACAGAAGGTATGCTTTGATACAATTGCTGCAACCTTGTGTATTGACACTGACATGAGCAGTCTCATGTATATCAAATCTAATCAGTGTCTTAGATCAACTCAAACCACTGTATTGGAGTCAGGGAAAGTATGAGACTGATTTTATGACTTTGATGTTTATATAGCAGACTGTAGGTAGAGATACCCACTTTACATGTGAGATCTTGACATGGCCCTTGGCACGTAAAAAGTACTTTAAAAAAATGAAGAACATTTCTCCTTGAGGTCAACTGGAATCACCAACACAAAATGGTTCCAATGTCTAAATCCTTCACATTCAGGGAAGAGGTAAAAACTGTTGGCTTCTAGCACAATGCATGAAGAGATGATCAGCCTACAAATGGGTTCTCCACCAGCATGCAAGTCTGATCTCTAAATGAATCAGTTCCCACAATGCACAATTAAATCAAAGAGAGCTGTGGAGATGATGTAAAGTAGGGTTGCCAGGTGTCCGGTTTTCAACCGGAACGACCAGTCGAAAAGGGACCTTGGCGACTCTGGTCGGCACTGCCAAGGTCCGCTGACCAGGCCGCCAAAAGTCCAGTCAGCGACATTGGGGGGAGGAAGGGAGAGGCGCACTAAAGCAGGTTCTCTGCCAGCCCTAACTCCATGCGGCTCCCGGATGCAGCTGGCATGTCCGCCTCCCAGGCGGCCCCCGCCCTGAGCACTGGCTTCGCAGCTCCCATTGGCCAGGAACCGTGGCCAATGGGAGCTGTGGGGGCGGCGCCTGCGGGCATGGGCAGAGTGCAGAACTCCCTGGCCCCTCCGCCTAGGAGTTGGACATGCCATTCACTTCCGGGAGCTGCTTAAGGTAAGCGACGGCCAGCCTGAGCCGCACCCTGAACACCGTCCCACACTCCAACCACCTGTCCCAGGTCAGAACCCCCTCACAGAGCCCGCACCCCAACCCCTGCTGCAGCCCTGAGCCCCCCTCCTGCACCCCAAACCCCTCATCCCTGGCCCAACCCCAGAGTCTGCACCCGCAGCCAGAGCCCTCACCCCCTCCCACACCTCAACCTCCTGCCCCAGCCCTGGAAAAGTGAGTGAGTGTGGGGGTGAGTGAACAATGGAGGGAGGGAGAATGGAGTGAACAAGAGGCGGGGCCTCGGACAAGGGGTGGGGCAAGGTGTTTGGTTCTGTGCGATTTGAAAGTTGGTAACCCTAATGCAAAGGAAAAGGACATCTACAAGCCATTTAATCTGTGCTAGCAGACAGCAAAATATTATACTTCAGGAACATCTATGTTTGCGAGTTAGATTAAAGCTCTTTAGGTGTCTGCTGGAACTGAAAATCAGAGTTTAAGGCCGGAAGAGACCATCAAGTCTGACCTGTATATCACAAAGCATTAAGCTTTACCCAGATACCCCTATACTGCGCTCAATTATTTCAGTTAGACCAAAGCATATCAGTTCTCAGGAGACTTAACTGTTGTGTGCCACAGGCAGAGAACAGGAGAGACCAAGGTGCCACCCATGCCAAGTAACAGGCAGAATGGATTATCCTCCTAGGGTGAACCATTAACATGGGCCGTCCATTGAAGCCCAGGTGCTCTGACACTAATTCACACAAGTGAATGATAGTTGATATTCATTAATTAATTAATTATACAATAGGTACACTGACAAGACACTAAACTTTTACTGCATGTTGCACCACCAGGCAGATGAAGTGAAAAGTTACCAATCACAATCATTTTAGCTAGAAATGCATTTAGATATAAATCATGAAATGGTTGCATGAAAGAACCAAGTTATGTTAAAAACACAGTTAACATATTAGAACACCAAAAAACACACAAAATCAATTCTTAATTCTTTTAGCAAAGTTTTGAATAGTGAAGTCTACAACTGTAGCACTATATGCTTCCCAAAAAGGAAGTTTTTTATATGACTAGGAAATCCATTGCAGATCATCTGAATTTTGCAGACTTGTAGATGAGTAAAATGGGGTGGGAGGAGGATGAAGGAAGGAATCAGATGCTACATCACAGAACGATCAGGTCATTTTTTCGGATTAGTTTTAATTAAGACAATACTTCACAGTACATTTATAAAATACACTGCAGTACATTAAGTAATGAAGTTTTAGTAACAGGAGATTTCACTACAAAGCCAGGTCTGCTGCCAAGTCTCTGCTGTGAATGGGGATGAGATAGAGAGACTGCAAGCTTAAATAAAACATCTGTATGTGTACACTTAGTGTGATTTCAGTAAGTGAAATGATATTACGCAATCAGAAATGTGAGGTATAATACTGTATCTCATTATTGTATTTCTAATACACAGACAAAATTTACAAATAAGTATATATGGTCAAATCTGTGTATCAACTCTGAACACCACCTGCTTTCGGAGAGAAAGATTAATAAACTTACATTTATGATGGCTTATGCTAAATTAGCTACTGGCTATTGTAGTAGTGACTAGCTACTGCCTATTGTAGTCTGAGGATTTTTTATTCCTTTTAATTTTTATTTAGATCTTTTTTTCTCCAAGTAAAATGAATTACAATTTTTGGCAAAGAGGGAGTGAAGAAAGGAGGATTAATAGGAAGTGAGACACTTAACCATGAGGGGAAGAGATTATGGAAAAGAACAAGTAATTTTTAGTGACAAACAAGTGGAGTGTGTCAGAACATTTTTAGTCTCACAGATAAGTTATTAGCCTGCCTTTAAGCAACAAACATGTTTAAAACACTGATATTCCAAAATCACTATCGCAATTACTGCAAGAAAAAGTCACATCTTTTGAGAGCAACTGCACAGGTTTCCTTCAAGTACAAGAGACATTCTTATCCAAATAAAAATGTGTTAAATTATTTTGGCTTACATGGTATACAAGGTTACTAAATCATGATGTGTTTGAAAAGCAACTGTTATATGGAGGCAGAACTAGAAAAGGTTACTCTATTTGCAAGCAAACATTTCTTCAGTCAAATGTTTAAAGCTCCTTCTAAAGAAACTTTGCAAAACTCAGTAGAAGCTTCCACAAACATTTAAATAAATGGCAGTGAGATTTTTTAAAAATAGTTTGATGCTAAAGATGAAAACATTGGATATTACATATCTAAATCAGGCAGCAACGTGTCACTTTATTCTACAGGTTAAATTTATTTTGAGCTTTCTTCACAAAAGTGTATCTGAAATTCACTGACAGTGTCCAAATTAATCTCTATAGATGCTGCTGGAAAGAAATAATTTGAAAACAAATTAAGTTAGGATACTTGTTTTTCTCCCCCTTTTCACACAACAGCATAATTTTAAGACCTGAAAAGACCAAAATTCATACATTCAAGATAAAATACACTTACCTAGTTCACCCGCTGCATTTCGACCACCAACTGCATACAAATGTCCTTTGAGGGCACTTAGGTGGAAGAAGGTACGCTTTTCATTTAAAGACGCAACTTGCATCCATTTATTATAGCGAGGATCAAATCTGAAGACTGTGTCAACCGCTGTTTTTCCTTTCGTGTCGTAATTGCTCTGTCCACCAACTACATAAAGAAAGTTTCCAATCACAGCAATGCCGTGCTGGTATCTTGGTGCATCCATGGGAGCTAATGATTTCCATTCATGTGCCTTTTCATCATACATCCGTAATTCTTTGCTGACAACCAGTTGCTGCCTTAACACTCCCCCCAATGTTACTAAGTGAGTACTGTCTGATCGAATGGCAGTTCTCTCTGACTGCATGACTGGTTGCATGTACGGCATCATTTGGTAATTGCTGGCTTCCAAAAGCAAATTCACACATGTATTGTCAGTTCTCATGAAATCCACTGTTTGTACATAATTAATAAGATCCTGTGGTGTCATCAGTGGAAATCTGATGTTCTTCATTAGTTTTGCAGCATATTCCATTCGAGGCTCCTCATACCGTAGCCAGCGACAAGCAGCCTTGAACAGTTCGAGCTCAGTGCAGTGCTTAAGGCTATTGCTTGAAAGCACAAAGGCAAGACGTTCAAAGGGGAGTTTCACAAACTCACCAGTACTTAATAATGCGGGGAAGTTCTTCAGGATGAAATTATTAACATATTTATCCACTTCTGTGAGATTGTATGTATTGGCAATCCGCCCAACCTCAACACAATTTTCCAAAGAAACCTATTAAGTGAGTAGAAAGAGGAATCAAAACACTTTCCTAATTTGCTGTTCATTTAGGCATATTAGGATAATACACAATTTAACGAATACTATGGAACCAGCAATATTTGCATCATTTTGCAATGCTCAAGGTGATTTACGCATATGAGCAAATAAATATTCAGTCAGATGTGTATATTCATGATTACAAGAAGAGATCCAGTAAGGTATTTGTTGTTTTGAAGAAAGAAATAAGACTACTGGAGAACAGATGGCATATATTAATTATACGTCAGATCTGCTATCATAAAATGATGATACATAGCAACTATAAGGCACTTTATCTTCAAAGTGTTCTGCAAACATCCTTATATGTTTGGAATGGGGAAAGTGTGGTAAGAGGAGGGATGCATAGCTCTGTCAGAGTGAATTATCATGTGAACTGGGGTTTGGCCTCAAATTCCTAACACATTCCCACGCTCAGACAGTTACACCATCACCCCCTCATTAATTTTTGTTTACAATAAAGTAAGCCGTACTATTTTGTGACTATTCTCCTCCACACCTAAGCCACCCTCCATAAACAGTACCCACAGTGCATATAATTTTTACTATGCAAGATGTTCCCTAAGAAACATTTACTTGCACATGATTGTAACCCTATACAAAGCAATAGCAGGAAAATAATAGTTAAGAATTTAGTGATCAGACAGGTTAACATGCCCCAAAGCACAGAAATGTCTACAGTTCAAAGTCTCTGGATCAAAGTTAACAGTAGCAAAACCAGCAAGTTTTTGAAAGAGACACTGCCTGTTTCTCCAATGCTACACATTTCATACAGTCAGCCTTTACTCTGAATTTTTAATTCCTTAGGCATGTTCTTTATAAAAGATTACTTGTGCACCATAACCAGGCTCTGAAGGATTAGATTTTTATGGGTACATATTGATAAATATTGATTTTACCATACACACAAAAACTGTTGAGGGAAATATTTTTGTCAATCAAAATTTACAAAGAAGCAAAATACGAAAATGCTGCTTGAAAACTTATTAGGGTTTGACTTAAGGATATGTAGTGTATACTTCGACATGTGATGTAGACAATGTGTGTTTTAACAGTTATAAAGCTTTAGCTTTTTGAATCTCTGCTGTCATTAAATAATTCTCTGACCCCCATTGCCTGACTCCTCATAATTCTGTGCAACTGTGAATATTTAAATAGATAAAAATCTAAAAAAAAAAATCTTTAAAATAAACATATCTCTCACAAT